AGAGAGAGAGAGAGATATATACAAAGAACTGGGAAGGGGTGATGGTGGAGAGTGAGAGAGAAGCCTTAACAGAGAAATCATGCATCTAGAGTGAGGGTGAGAGAGGAAATCAGTGATGTGATGGAATTTGGGGGAAAAATAATAAAGGAAAAAATGTTAAATTGTTGATCATTGGATGAAGGGATTTAAGCCCGTATGATGAGTTTGTTAAAGCCATGTTATTTTATATTATAGATTTTACTGAATCTTCCAACAACATATGAGAAGAAGAAAATGAAGAAAATTATGTTGGAGTAGATGATCTCTTTTTCTCTCTCCAACATTGAGAAGAGAATGACAAAGATGGAGAAAGAAATCACATAAATTACGATCATAACTACAAGTCTCCAATATTCTCTGGATAGAAACGAATTGCATTAGCAATCATATACATACCAATTATTTCTTGTCACTTAAACTCATAGGTGCCATTTCTAAACCACACTATATGGCTCGTGGGACTTGATTGTGTTCTCCTCACTTTGGACAATCTTGGTCAGTGGGATCTCCTCTGCATGACACCATATCATGTTGTTGAACCACAAGCACAGAAGACACAATGCCCTGACCTGATGAGGCCAAGACATCTCCTATAGGCCCTAGCTCGGCATGCTCGGCTGGGCGATCGACCAGATCTGCCACCATGATTGAGGGACGCCGGCCTTTTCCAACTATTATGAGGTCGTAGTCTCCGCTTCTGCCTATTGCCAACACCCCCTCGACAATGTTGCTTCCCCCCTTGTCTATGTAGTCCGCCATCCCTGCCCACCTCCTTCGGAACTCAGCCACTGCTCTCTCATCAAGCTCCTGATTTACACCAATGCGAGAATCGAGCATAACTAGGTGCATGGTAGGATATTAACAATGCTTTATTGCAATAAGTGAGTTTCTTAAGATGATGGTAAATTATATTTTACCCACTTGAATTATTACCCTTATTTTATTTGATACCTTCAACTGTAAAATTTCTCACATTTTCCGCTAAAGTATTAATTTTATTTTGTATCACTTCAATTGATAACGAATGTCACTTTTTTTACGGTAAATGCGCATGTGAGTAATCTATACTATAAATAAATAATTGTTTATTGTACATGTACTGGTCAAAAATCAAGAAAAATACATATTCATGACTTTACCCTTTATAAGCTCTAAATTTTCTTTCCTTGACTGACCTTCTTTTTTGTTCTAACAACCATTTGGTTGTAAAAGAGATAAAATAAAGTGGTACTAGGCACTTGACAGGAAGCTCTTTGGGATTCTCCTTTCTCATTTGATAGATTTTCAAGTTTACCGTTATTATTGAAGTGATATGAAACAAAATTGATATTTTATGGTGCAATGTGAGAAATTTTACAATTAAGGATGTAAAGTGAAACAAGTGTAATAGTTTAGAGGGTAAAGTGTAATTTATCCATAAGATGATTTATTATAATACTAAAGAAATTCAAGGAATTAGGGCCGAAGGTAACCTAAATCTAAGGGTGCACAACAGACAAGACCAATCTACTAGAAAAGTCTAGGCCCATAGATTTTCAAATGGGCCAGCTAATGGATCCTTAGTGGGCTGTCACGGTCGGCCCCTAATGGACCCAGCTTCTACTTTTCTTCTTTGTTTCTTATTTGAATGTCTGGCCTGTCCAATATGCTGGCCCTGATGCACCCACGTTCCATTTCGATTTGGTTTTTAGTTCGAAATTTAAGAAAATATTATTTAGATTTGATTTAAAAATCGAATCTGAAAAACTAATTTTAATATGCATGTAGTACGTACATATAGGTAGCTACATACATGAGAGAGAGATAGAGGGATTGCCTTTTCCTTTTCCCGATTCATGAGAGAAGTTGAGCAGCTACAGCTCTCTTCTCCACATTTATTCGGTGATGGCCGTAATATAACTCCGTTAATCTCAATTCCTTCTTTCTCAATGAACCTTATAACCGTCACTTGAACGGCGGGATGTTCAGCCATCCTCCCACCTAACTCCAAAGCCTCCCTGTCGTCGGGCCCACCGAAGAAAATAACACAGACCCTTTGTGCCACGTTGGCAGTGGGCCCTGGAGTTTTCTGGAACCCACCACCAAATCCACGGTCCACAAGCAATGCCACCGAACAAGGTGCATCCTTTAGCACCCTCTGATTAACTTCTCTCCAGCTATGGCCCAGATTGACCACTTCATCATCACCGTTAGTTTTTTTCCACTGCTTGTGAAAAGGCAATATAATCAAAGCAACGCTCTTATCTTCCGCCACGTGGCATATATCCTCATGCATCGTTGGCAATGCTGATATGGCAGTTGTGGTTCGAACACTGACTCGGCCGACTTGGCCGTATGCTTGGAACGCCACGACGACTCGGTCATGTAACTCGCCTCTCCGGAACCGCTTAATGAACGGAAAACCGTTCTTTTGGAGACGTTGGACCAGAACAATGGAGGAGGATCGTTCGGTGAGCTCGACAAGGTGCATGATATAGAGTTTGAGGCGGGACTTGTTAACGGACCGAGTCGACTCAATGAGGTTGATGAGGGAAGGGATGTTTCCGAGACCGTGGACGCAGGCGAGGATTCGTAGCTCGTCCTTGACGCTTTCAGAGGCAGGTTGTAGCCGACGATGACTACTGCTGGAGGAGGAGGAGGAGNCTAAATCTAAGGGTGCACAACAGACAAGACCAATCTACTAGAAAAGTCTAGGCCCATGGATTTTAAATGGGCCAGCTAATGGATCCTTAGTGGGCTGTCACGGTCGGCCCCTAATGGACCCAGCTTCTACTTTTCTTCTTTGTTTCTTATTTGAATGTCTGGCCTGTCCAATATGCTGGCCCTGATGCACCCACGTTCCATTTCGATTTGGTTTTTAGTTCGAAATTTAAGAAAATATTATTTAGATTTGATTTAAAAATCGAATCTGAAAAACTAATTTTAATATGCATGTAGTACGTACATATAGGTAGCTACATACATGAGAGAGAGATAGAGGGATTGCCTTTTCCTTTTCCCGATTCATGAGAGAAGTTGAGCAGCTACAGCTCTCTTCTCCACATTTATTCGGTGATGGCCGTAATATAACTCCGTTAATCTCAATTCCTTCTTTCTCAATGAACCTTATAACCGTCACTTGAACGGCGGGATGTTCAGCCATCCTCCCACCTAACTCCAAAGCCTCCCTGTCGTCGGGCCCACCGAAGAAAATAACACAGACCCTTTGTGCCACGTTGGCAGTGGGCCCTGGAGTTTTCTGGAACCCACCACCAAATCCACGGTCCACAAGCAATGCCACCGAACAAGGTGCATCCTTTAGCACCCTCTGATTAACTTCTCTCCAGCTATGGCCCAGATTGACCACTTCATCATCACCGTTAGTTTTTTTCCACTGCTTGTGAAAAGGCAATATAATCAAAGCAACGCTCTTATCTTCCGCCACGTGGCATATATCCTCATGCATCGTTGGCAATGCTGATATGGCAGTTGTGGTTCGAACACTGACTCGGCCGACTTGGCCGTATGCTTGGAACGCCACGACGACTCGGTCATGTAACTCGCCTCTCCGGAACCGCTTAATGAACGGAAAACCGTTCTTTTGGAGACGTTGGACCAGAACAATGGAGGAGGATCGTTCGGTGAGCTCGACAAGGTGCATGATATAGAGTTTGAGGCGGGACTTGTTAACGGACCGAGTCGACTCAATGAGGTTGATGAGGGAAGGGATGTTTCCGAGACCGTGGACGCAGGCGAGGATTCGGAGCTCGTCCTTGACGCTTTCAGAGGCAGGTTGTAGCCGACGATGACTACTGCTGGAGGAGGAGGAGGAAGAGGAGATGTTGTGGCGAGCTGGTTTGTAGATAGCCAGCACTGTTGGAGTTGTCATGAAAGTGGTGAAGAGTGCCATGAGGACTAATATTGCAAACACTTCGTCATTAAGGACCTGTCAATCAATTGAAACTCTCATCAATCAATTTTAGGTTTTTAATATCAGTACAAAAATATGAAAATGAAACAAAATTTTCAGATGTTTTACACCACACACACACACACACACACACACATATATGAAACTAAAATTTCAGCATTTTTTTTTTTTTTGGTGAAATTAACATTACACACACACACTTCATATTAGTAAAGGCAAGATCTGTAGAAGCCTTTTTTCGTAGAGAGAGTTGGGGTCCACTTTGCTGATGAAGGTATTTTTCCACTTTCATCTTTATTTTTTGACTTGATTTTTTTTTTGATTATTCAAAAGTCATAGATTTTTCGATCAATAAAAATAGTCAAAAAATAAGTAATACTCTTTTCGTATTTTCACTCATCCGGCCATGTGTTTTAGGCCAGATCAAAAAGACAAATGAATATGAGTCATTCACTATATTTTAGCATAGAAATTATAAAATTAATATCAGTTTGAGATTTCTCAAGTGAAACTAATTAGTACAATCATTATTTAAAGTGATTTGAGATAAATGGGAAAAAGAAAGAATAAAGCAAGAAAAGTAAGAAAAAGATGAGCAGTAGGCATATTCTGTGCCCCCACAAGAGAGGACAAGAAAGATAATTCAACTTTTATCAGGAGTGAACAAAACGTGAGGGACCCAAGTCTGTTATTCACCCACCCACTCACCTATTTTTCTAAGATGAAATTACAGTCAATTTCATGCTTTATAGTATAATCTAGATTTCTTGGTCCTTGGTCTGTGGAGAGGCCTATTATTTTTACTAGACTGTAATTGATCGTGACAAAAATAAATAGTAAAATGATAAAATAAATAGACTTTTCAAGATAATAATACTTGTACTGAAAATTTATTTTTCGATAGCAGATTTAGTAATGGACTTTGTTCTTCTACTATAGAGAGATGCCCCAGACCCCATGGCCTTTATTATTGACATGTGCCTTTAGATTTATTCACATTGAAAGATTTGAGATTGAAGGTACGATTGATGAAATGAATTTGGTTAATTTTGCTTCATTTCATATCTATTCAGGATTCAGAAGTGGCCCAACTGAAATCTATTCAATTTTACATCAAACATCGAGGGTGACTTACAATATTGTTATTTTAAGACAAAAAACTATAAAATTAGACTTAACTAGAAGAGTGGTGTCATAGCATGTCTCTTTTAAAAAAGGTGAATATTTATGTCGATCTTTGTTAGATTATCCACACATTAGTCATACGTAAAATGATTATTAAACAGATGACAGTTACTAAAAATGTTTCAAAAGTGTCACAAATAAAAGTGTCCTGTCCTACGCTCATTTGCATAGTGAAATGTCGTGAATATTATTTTTGACATATTTTTACAGCTCTGTTATTTCAGGAGAAGAAGTTATAAAATTAGACTTAGGATTGTCACAACACATCTCTTTTATAAAATGTGAATATTTATGTCGATCTTTGATAGAATCGTATGACTAATAAAAGAGGTGATATATTGAATATAAAAAAAAAGAATAAAAATGTAATGTTAGAGACGTGGATGATCATATTGCACCAAATTGTGCCCTCAATTGTAAATGTGATTGAAAGACGGAATTCCCAATAAATTACTTTTGTTTTGTAAGATTTAAAATAAAAATGATATTTCCTAAAGTCAACATGGGAAAAACGTGTAAACTATTGGTAACAAGGTAGAAATATTGCTATTAAAATGGGGAGAAATCTTACAAATATTGCTATTAAAATGGGGAGAAATCTTACACATAAAAAACAAGAAAAAAAAATAAAATAAAATTGAGGCCGACAATGAATTAGCACATCTATAATAAAAAATAGGATAATTTTTAATAAGTTTATTTGACGGTTTTAAATAGATTCATCCAACGGTCAGCAACATCTTTCTCAAAATTATTTACATTGTATGGTATATTTAAGGGCGAGTTATCTCCAATAATCAATAACTTGCACAGTATACTTTTACATATTTGTATAATTTGGGTCAAAAATGGGTAAATCACAATCAAAACCGGTAAAATATGACTTAATACACTGCTATTCGGATTTTTATAAACAGTAAAAATAACTGTTCAACTATTCGAATTCAAATCGAATCTATGCAGTGGAAGTTACCAAAAATCAAAACAAAATGCAGAAATGCATACAACATACCTTCTTCTCTTTTCCAATGTTGAGAACAACGAGCTCTACCAGTCCTTTAGTATTCATCAGCACACCAAGCGCCAAGGATTCTCTCACCGGTATCCTACACAACATCGCCACCACAAACGTCCCGATAATTTTTCCGCCGCATGCCGCCGTGATAACCAGCACCAGCAACCCCCACGCCTCCACTCCGTTTATTTTAGATATATTCGTTTTCAACCCACTTGAAGCAAAGTACAATGGAAGCAACAGACCAGTCACAAAGTCCTCAATCCTCTCTATCAATCTCTGAGCAAATTCACCGCCTTTAGGTATCGTTAATCCGAAAACAAACGCACCAAAGATTGCATGGATTCCAATAAGGTCAGTTAATAACCCGGACACCATTACTCCAACGAGGGTTAAGCATATATAGGCTTCGTTGATGGTATCGTGCTCCGGCGAGCATTGACGAGCCACCCACTTCATGGCTGGCCTGATGAAAACCATCATGAAAGCAACAAACGCAACACCTGAGAGTAAAACCCATATAGCTATCAATGGGCTCTTGTGGGTCCCACCTGAGCCGTTTCCGGTTAAGGCGATGACGAGGGCGAGCAAGATCCAGGCGGCGAGGTCGTTGAAAGCGGCGGCGGCCATGGCGGTCTCACCCACACGAGTGGTCAATAATTTAAGTTCGGCTAGAATGCGCGCAAGAACTGGGAAGGCTGTGATGGATAAAGCAGCCCCCATGAAGACTATGTATTGGACATAGCCGACTTTATCCGCTCCGTCGATGGCTTTTCGGAGGACGAAGGCGATGATATTGCCTAGGATGAAGGGGAGAGAAATTCCGGCTACCGCTATGCCTAAAGCACTTCGGCCACTCCGGCGGATTGAGCTGAGATCCAGCTCAAGACCTACTAGGAAGAGGAAGAAGAGGAGACCAATGCTTGCAACTGATTCGAGGATTGGTGTGCTCCATTTTGGAAATATTCGGTGCATGTATTCTTGGTTTCTTCCAAAAGCTGATGGCCCCATAAGAATTCCACCCTGAATCAAATTTTATCAGTCAACAAGAGATTATAACTCATAATCAAGGAAATAAAAAAAAATATTTTGGATGGTAAGAAACCATAAATTTATAAAGAAAAAGTGAAGAAACAATAGAAAAATTTGTATGGCAATGATAGAAATCTTGATATCTCTATTACAATGAATAATCAATTCGTATAATATCGAAATAATGCATTTACATAGAGGTGAAGAGAAGTTAGAAAGAGGGCCCAATCCCAAACAAGGGACATTATTAGACTTAAATTTGAGTTTTTCGGTATGAATTTGCTTCTATGTTTGTAGGAGTAAGGTTGGAAACATCTAATTCAAACTCCGTAATAATGGGAATCTCATGCGCTGAGGATGTCATAATATAACTTTTCTTGTAATTATCAAAACAGATATTATGAGAGGGGGTGGAAACAAACATACCAGAATCTCTGCAATGACTTTGGGTTGCCGGAGGGGTTTGAGAAGGAAGGCAAGGAAGCGACTGACAACGAAAACCAAAGTGGTTTGGACAATCAACAAAGGAAATGCAAAATCTAGGGGATTATCACCTTGCCAAATTCCATCGGAGGATGTTTTTACGGAGGTTATATTGACCGACATGTTTGATGATTAATGATGATGGCACTATATAGTTCACTATCTTTCTTCTCAGAAAGGTGTTGAAGAGTGGATATAAACAAAGTCTATAAAAGACAACGGAATTGAAGAGTACCAATACTGCTCATTTACACACACAGGGAGAAGGAAGGAGGAAGAAAGAGAGGTAGCCTTAACGCTAAAAGATAGGCTATATATAATGTGGGAGGTCCTTCTTTGTTCATTGAAGGGTAATTGCACTAGAGGTCTCAAAGTATAGAGTTTATTTTATGTCAGTTTTAAATATTTTAATTACATTATTTTGGTCTCTAAATTATTAAACATGTTTTCTATGTAATTTCTTAAGTAGACAACGTCTAAATTATTAACGGTTTTATATCATAAACTTGTAATGTGATACCTAAATATAGATAAAAAAATAATTTAGGTAATTTTTGACCAAAATTTAGGTAAATTNTTATTTTGGTCTCTAAATTATTAAACATGTTTTCTATGTAATTTCTTAAGTAGACAATGTCTAAATTATTAACGATTTTATATCATAAACTTGTAATGTGATACCTAAATATAGATAAAAAAATAATTTAGGTAACTTTTGACCAAAATTTAGGTAAATGTTGANATTTTATATCATAAACTTGTAATGTGATACCTAAATATAGATAAAAAAATAATTTAGGTAATTTTTGACCAAAATTTAGGTAAATGTTGACTAAAATTTAGATAGCTCATGATCAAAATTGTATAATTTGAGTAGTTATTTGATCAAAATCTGGATAAAAATTTGGTCAAGAGTTATCTAAATTATTTTTTTGCTCATATTTAGATATTACATCCTAAGTTTAATGAAAGGATTAAACCTCATGATTACACGTGATATGTCATTAAATATTCTCACGTGATGTTGACGAAGCAAGACACGTGATGAAAAATTCTCTATTAAGCCTTCTAATTAAGCCGAGCTAAGGACGAGTTCAGAAAGAAAAGAAGAAGTTCGATTCTCTTTATAACCGAGTTCATCATTCTGTTCATAAAAACAAGGAAAGAGCTCGGCTTGTACCAAGCCGAGCATATTAAAGTGTTCGGGAAAGCGATCGAAGAGAATGATTTATGCCAAACCAAGTCCCTAAAACTGTTCGACGAATATCAAAAGTATTCGGCGTTCGATATGTCCGAGATGTTCAAAACGATAGATGGAAAGATAAAGATTCACCTATAATTTAGTCAATCAGATAAACGAATAAATGAAATTGTAGATATCAAGAGGAATTGTTGGAGAAATATCAGCAACTTCCCAAACTGAATTACTGAATTAAAGGAGGGTGTGCCATTTTGAGTCAAATATCACAAAAACCTTAAGAGGATGACCATTTATAAAAAACGGAGGAATCCAAGGTGAAAGGTACGCTGAACTCTCTTGTTCTTCTTCCATTCGTTTCATTATCTTTACTGACTTAAACATCGGAGTGTCTTCGATCATAGCGTTTCGATCTTGGGCAGTTTGTTCATTTTGCAGCAAGACTGGGAGATCAAGTTCAGAAACACATTGATATTTGAATTCCAGTAGGAGGTATTCTCATTTTTTTGCCTCTCAGATTTGGAGCCGTCTGTGGGAAAATTTTCATCTTACACAACAAGAAACCACAATGTCTAGACTCAGAAGCGCAATTGGTTCACCCAAAGACAATTTTGCCTTGGGAGACTCTGATCCTGCATTCATTCCTCCTGGTAGCAATACGCGGTTGTAGGCAAGAGGAAGCCTATCTAGATCCCATAAAGGTGAAGAGATGTCCTCTGCCAGTTTCAATCCCTCGAAGAATTAGAACCATCAAATTGAAGATCGTGGTAAATCCCTCCGTTTTGAGGGGAAAAATCACTCCCTGGTAAAGTTGGTTCAGTCCTTACAGGATTAACTTGACGCTCATGACAAGTTGTTCATGAATTCTTATGCCATAGAGAAAGATCTAATCAAAGAAAATGAAGAACTAAAAACCAAGATAAAAGAGATGACCAAGAAAGAAAAATGTGCAAGGGAAAACCATTGGGAAATTCTTGAAAGGAAGCTCGACAGAATCAGAAGCAACAATGAAGATTGTCACCAGCAAAAGAAACCTTAGGTTCAGGAAGAGGTTGCGTGGAAGCAATAAATTACCAAGGAACTCAATAGTCGTTTAAGGAGACCAGAACAGAGGTCGACTAGGGACCTAGCCAGAAGAGCGACATAAGAATATGGAGACAGTTCGGAGTCATCTCCATTTACAGTTTGGATCGAAAAGGGACGAATTTCGAGCAAATTCACCATCCCAAACTTCAAACTATATGATAGGAAGATCAACCTAGCCTCGCACATCAGACATTACAAACAGCTGATGACCATTCATAAAAAAAAAATGAGCCCTTATTCTATACTATCTTCTCTAGCAGTCTTGGGGAGTCAGCCATGAAATGGTTTGACAGCCTATCGAAGGGAATGATCGATGGATGGTCTCAGTTAGCCGAGCAGTTAACAACTTGATTCATAATGAGTAGTAAGTAGCCGAAGGATGTTGGAGCACTACTGACGCTAAAGAAGAAGAATAACGAAAGCCTGCGAGAGTACGCTCATCGTTATTTGGAAACTATGAACGAGATTGAAGGGTGCAATCTAGAGATTGCAGTTACATCCTTCAAGATCGGGTTGCTAAAGGAGAACCCCCTATATCAGTCGCTCACAAGAAGCTCCAGGGACGGGGTTAAAGAACATCCGAGCAAGAGACAGTTCAGTAGAGACAAGCAGACCGAGCCAAATAGAGAGGGAGAAAGAAAGAATGAGAAGGATGAATATCCTCAAAAGTCCCCATTTTTGGGGATAAATACATTGTTCAAGGAACCAATATACAAGATACTCAACCAGATCAAGACAAAGTTGTTTTTCAAATGGTTGAACAAGTTAATAGGAGATCCTTCTAAAAGAAATTCAAACTTCAAGTGTTCATATCACAGGGATGTGGGCCACATGACTGAGAACTGCCGATCTTTGAAGCAACATTTGGAGAAACTGGTCTAGGCTAGACATCTCATCGAGTTCATAGAAGGTAAACAAAAATCCGATAGAGGGAGGACTGAGCCAAATGGGGACCACAACACTCCAACATGAGTGATTGATGTGATCCATGTAGCCACCAACCTGCAGATGTCCACGAATAATTATGCTCGGGCTTATATCCAAAAAACTGCCAATGAGAGAGAGGTGTATGGGTTGCGGTTGACCCCAGAGGTGACCAACAAAAGAATCAAAATAGAGGACTTAGCCGAAGCAATCTGTTTCACCGAGTAGGACTTCGTCGGAGTGCACCAACCGCACAATGAACCTTAGTCGTTACGCTTCGGATTGTAAATTTTGATGTAAAAAAGGTGCTGATTGATCTGGCGAGCTCGTCAGAGATCATGTATTTGGATCTATTTGAGAAACTTGGACTTAAGAAGGAGGATCTTAAGCCTTCAAATAGTCCACTTATCGGTTTTAGTGAAAAAATAGTTCTTCCTAAGGAAAAGATCACATTGCCTGTAAAGACAGGACCAGTTTGCATCATGACTGAGTTCCTGGTAGTGGATACGGTCTCAGCGTATAACGCGATAATGGGGCGGTCCTGGCTACACACAATGAAGGCGGTACCCTCAACGTATCACCGGATGCTGAGATTCCTTTCAGCTGAAAGAGTAGTCAATATCCGAGGAGACCAAGTCAGTGCCAGAACTTGTTTGTTAGCCTCAGTCAAACCAAAGGGGGGGTTGAAGCTCACGAGAAGAACTCAATATCCAAGGAGGTGAAATAGCAATTAACCTTTTACAGCTCGGTTAAACCAACCGATCAAGCTGTCAAGGAAGGCCCTAAAGTACCTTTAGGCGCCGAAAAAAAAAGGTTACGGACCAAACAATTGAGAACTTGACCAAAGTACCTTTAGACAAGGATGAGGATCCCAAAAAATACTTTTTGTTAGGGATTGCTCTGAGTCCCGAGCAAAAAATCGAGCTCGTCACCCTTTTGCGAGAATATGCCTACGTTTTTGCATGGACCACTACTGATATGTCCAGCGTACCATCCAAAATAGCATGTCATCAGTTGAACGTTGACCTGAGCTTTAAGCCAATCAGACAAAAACTAAGGAGGTCGGCGCCTCAACATTAGGAGGCAGTGAAGGAAGAAGTGGTACATTTATTGAAGTCTCGAACAATTAGGGAAGTACAATACCTGACCTGACTGTCAAACACTGTTATGGTAAAGAAGAAAAATGAGAAGTGGAGGGTCTATGTTGACTTAACCGACCTAAACAAAGCATGTCCGAAGGATAGCTTCCCCTTGTCGAAGATAGATCAGTTGGTAGATGCCATTGCTGGACATAGCAGATGAGTTTCCTGGACGCCTACTGGGGATACCATTAGATCCCTCTGGTAGAGAAAGATCAAGAAAAGACTGCCTTTATAGCACTGAATGGAACGTACTGTTACAAAGTAATGTCATTTGGATTAAAGAATGTTGGGACAACATATCAAAGGTTGGTTAATAAAATATTTTCACATATGATAGGCAGTACAATAGAAGTTTACATTGATGACATGGTGGTGAAGAGTCGGAGGGCAACAAACCACTGTGCCAACCTCAAAAGCACATTTGATGTTCTACGAATGTACAACATGAAATTAAACGCTTCAAAATACACATTTGGGGTCGGCTCGGAGAAATTCTTGGGATTTCTGGTTACTCATNCAAAGGGGGGGTTGAAGCTCACGAGAAGAACTCAATATCCAAAGAGGTGAAATAGCAATTAACCTTTTACAGCTCGGTTAAACCAACCGATCAAGCTATCAAGGAAGGCCCTAAAGTACCTTTAGGCGCCGAAAAAAAAAGGTTACGGACCAAACAATTGAGAACTTGACCAAAGTACCTTTAGACAAGGATGAGGATCCCAAAAAATACTTTTTGTTAGGGATTGCTCTGAGTCCCGAGCAAAAAATCGAGCTCG